CTGTTTCCAAGTGTAGGCTGCCACTACCACCATGCCTTTTTCATGTCATTTCCTCTGCTGTTTCTTGAAGTGCCTTTCCTTGTATTTGCCATTGTATTTTAAGGTCCACTTCACATGCTATCTTTTCCACACAGTACTAGCCTGGGCTGCACATGACCTTCTTGTTTTCTGTACCCCAGCTGTTGTTTCCCTGTAGCCTGTGCCTTCAAATTATTAACTACCCTGTGCTATTTGGTCCTTGTTCATTTTTCTAGCTATACTTAGCTGTTTCTCTGCAGGAATCCTGACTCATCACACAATCCACATAGAATTGCTTCTTGTTCCTCAAAGACTAAGCTTTTGTGCACACGTCATTTCCCCTGTGTGGCATATCTTCCACTTAGTGTGTTTCAGGGTTTGGGTAGCGCTGGTGGGAACAGCCTTTGAAACTAGTTCTGCATAGATAGCCTCCATCACTTAGTCTCAGTCTGCTGAGTTCCACAGGCAGTTTGGTGAGTGAAGAGAGTTGGAATTTGAACTTCCATTGACTCTGGCTTTTATGTTTTATCAGCCATGTGAACTTGGTAAAACTACTCAAAGTTTTCCAGACCTTTTCTTATTACTCTATAGAATACAATCAGTATTTAACCTTATAGGACTAATGCAAAGTTTGAGTGAGACACTGTGTATAAATGCCTAGCATATAGTAAGTCTCAGTAAATAGTGTTAGGGCCAAGTGAATGATGGATGTATAAAGGGGCTGCCGGGGCTTTTCTTTCGTGGAATCAGTTGTGGGAATGGGCCAGACTGAAGGTGCTGAAAGCAGAGCATGGAGGATATCTTCCTGTGCCAGGGCGACTGTTTTGCTGCCCACAGATTCTAGTTAGAGTTCAAGAAAAACATCCTCCTGCAGCCAGCTAGTGATTTGTCTCTTAGGGTGCACCTAGCACTTGGTTTGCAGCTCCCCAGCGTGTCGCTCAGTTTGCCCTGCTCCCTACTCTTGCCTCCTCTAGGACTCTTTCCATGCTGTCTCAGAACATGGCTTTCAAAGTGCAGATTGCTACTGCGTCCAGCTCAACATTCAGGATAAAGGCTTGACTCCTTCAACACGGACAGGCTTTTCATGTTCTTCATCTACTTTCTTACCTCATCTCCTGTTATAGCCCATGTAGTGGACATTTGCCATTTTTGGTCAGCTCAGCTTTCAAATTCTTTTTATATTGGGAAATTCCAGTCTTGATGGGGAACAGGACCTGTCTCACAGTGAGAAACTGAAAAGTCCATATCCTCATTTTCCCTGCCCCATTGGCATCTAGAACACAGGATGTGACCCAAGCTCTTCAAGACTCACTGCCATGAGTGGCTTCACAGTGGTGGCATCCTCAGTGTCCTGGTAGCGGCTCCCATCAGACTGTTCTGCGAGTGCACTTAGCCGCACTTCCGGCCTTCACTGTAATTGGGTATTGACCTATTTTCTGGGCCTTGATTTTCCAGTCATTTAGATCCATGTGGTTGGTGATGTGTTGTTTTTCCAATAAATGTCTTTTCCATTTGGAGGTACCCATGGTGGTTTCGATTCCTTGTACTTGACTGTGCCACCCTCCAGTATCAAGTGCCCCATTCCCATCTTTCTGTAAGTTCTCCGAAGTGACTATAGCTGTTTCCACCATTAGGCTTTCTCATTGTCTTTACTGTCTCGAACACACTGGGTCCCATTCTTAATCTTTTTGACTGTTTAAAAATATTATGTATTAGTGCCTATTAATTTCATGAAATAATTGAGTTTCATTATAGTGGTTTTTAAAATTTATTTTTTTGTTTTATTTTTACTTAGTTGTTTTTTGAAGACAAAGTTTTGTTATGCAGTTCAGATTGGCCTTGAACTCACCGTGATCCTCCTGCCTCAGCCTCCTGAGGCTGGGATTACAAGCATACATACCACCATGCTTGGTGGGTTTCAGTGTAGTACTTTTATATGTGTGTGTTACCTATTGTGGTTGGAGCTCTTCTCTTGTACCCCTTCAGACACCCCTCTCCCTCATTGCTTTCTTCTTTTCCAATAACAGTGCCCTTCACTTTAATGCTTTTTTAAAAGAAATGTCATATATTTGGGGGAATATGTGCTACTTGTCTGAGTCTGGCTTATTTTGTTTAGCATGCTTACTAGGTCCGTTTTCCTACACATGACATAATTTCATTCTTTGTGAGTAATTCTCATTGTGTGTATATGCCACATTTTCTTATCCATTCATCCATTGTTTCCATATCTCAGCTATTGTGAATTGTACCTCAATAAACACAGGCATGCAGGTATCCTGGACTTTACTTCCTTTGGGTGTATGTCAAGGAGTGGGATAGCTGAGTCATGTGGTAGTTCTGTTTTTAGTTTTTTTTGAGGAAACATCCACAATAGTTGTACTAATGTACCTTCCCACCTGCAGTGTGGAAGGATTTACTATTTTTATATTTTTGATGATTTTTTTTAATAGTTTTGTTTTACATTTTTCTAATGGCTAAAGATGTTGAACATTTTTCATATACTTACTGGACATCTGCACTTCCTTTTTTTTTTTTTTTTTTTTTTTTTTTTTGGTATTGAGAATTGAACTCAGGACCTTGCACTGGCCAAGCAGGCACTTATACTGCTGAGCTATATCCCTGGCCCATCTGTACTCCTTTTGTCTGTCTGTTTAATTCATTTGCCCATTTATTGACTGGGCTATTTTTTGTTTTGTTTTGTTTTTCTTTAGCTCTTTGTATGTTCCAGATGTTACCCTTTATTGGAAGAGTGGCTGGGGAAGATTTTCTCTCATTTGTAGATGAATTTGTAGATGATCTCATTGCTGCATCGGTTGTTTCCTTGCCATGCAGAAACTTTAATTTTTCAAAAAAAATTTTTTTTTTTTTTACTTTTTGAGACAGGGTCTCACTGTACAGTCCAGGCTGGCCTTGAGCTCACTTTGGTTTTGGTTTTGGTTTTGGCTGGTTTTGAACTCATAATGATCCTCCTGCCTCAGCCTCCCAAGTGCTGGGATTACAGCTGCGTGCCACTATGCCCAGCAAGGAACTTTAATTTGATCTAGTCCTGTTTGTTGATTTTTGCTGTTATTTCCTGTGCTGTTGAGTCCAGTTTAGGAAATGTTGCCTGTGCCTGTGAGCTCAGTTATTTCTCCCGTTTTCTTGTAGCATTTCCAAGGTTTGGCGTTTTACTCCTGCATCTTTCATTCATTTTAAGTTGAGTTTTTGTGGGGCTGGGGATTTAGCTCAGCGGCATAAGCGCCTGCCTTGCAAGCAAGCAGTCGTGAGTTTGATCCCTGGTACCGATAAAAACGAAAAAGACAAAAAAAAAAAAATTGAGTTTTTGTGCAGTATGAGAGATACTAATCCAGTTTCAGTCTTCTCCATATGAGTACTCAGTGTGCTCAGCAAATGTCTTTTGTTCAATGTATGGTTTTGGTCCTTTTGTCCAAAATCGGTGGCTATGGTTGCAGGGGTCTGTTGCTGTGTCCCTGCTTATCCAATTGGTCTGTGTATCTATTTTTGTGCCAGTCCCAGGGTGTTTCTGTTCTGTGGCTTGAAGTCTTATTTGAAACTGGGTATTGTAATACTTCCAGTCTTGCCCATTTTTCTCAAGATTGCTTTGGCATTCTTTCTGGGTCTTCTGTGTTTCTATAAGAATTTTAAGTTTGCTTTTTTCTAATTCTGTGAAGAATGTCATTGGAATTTTGATGAGGATTGCATTGAATTTGTAGGTCATCTCCAGTTAATATGTCCATTTTAATAATATTAATTCTTTGCATCTTCTACTGGGATTTTTTTCCTCCAATTTTGTGTGTGTGTGTGTGTGTGTCTGATGTTTTGCTGGATTTATCAGTTCTAAAAATTTTTTGATGGAATCTTTAGGGACTTCTAACTATAGGATCATATCGTCTGCAAATAAGGATAATTTGACTTTTTACTTCCCTAGTTGAATCGCTTTTCTTTTTTTCTATCTAATTGCTCCAGCTAGAATTTCAACTAGTGTATTAAACAGGAGTGGTGCAAGTAGATATTTTTGTCTTGTTCTTGATTTTAAAGAAATACTTTCAGATACTGTTCCTGACTCGTGTGTGTGTGTGTGTGTGTGTGTGTGTGTGTGTGTGTGTGTTTTTCCTTTTTACCGGTTCCAGGGATCGAACTCACGACTGCCTGCTTGCAAGGCAGGCGGTTATGCCGCTGAGCTAAATCCCCAGCCCCCTGTTCCTGACTCTTGAAAGTTGTTTAGGGTTTAGCTCTGTTGCCATGCCATTCTTTCTGTAAATGTTCATCCATATCTTAAGATTTGATTAGCCCCTCAGTGTTCCTACAGAATCGTCTGCTTATCTCTGTTATAATACTCGTCACACGATCCTATACTGTGTCTCTCTGAAAATAAGACCTAACTGGAGAATAATCAGCCTTGAATACTAGAGATCAAAAATACCAGCCCCAGCCATGCATGGTGGTGCATACCTGTAATCTCAGCATTCAGGAGGCTGAGGCAGGAGGATTATTATGAGTTCAAGGCTAACCTGTACCACATGTCAAGACCTTGTCTTGACAAAAAAAGAGTAGATACTGAACAAATGAATGGCAAAACTGTCTTTTTAGAATTTCAGCGAAATAGTTTTCCTTGAAGAAGGTATCTTCTTTGACCATATTGTACAGGTGAGGCAAAGACATTTGTAGTGTACACTGCTCCATCTGGGAACCAGCATTGGTAGGCCCTTTGGGAAGATACCGTGTGCTCATGAAAAAGTAGCTATTTGACAGGTCAGTGTCTGGCCAGTTACAAATGTGGACCAATGCTGCATCAGTGTCAGGCTAATACAATGTTCTTAGTTGTGTGCTGAAGTGCAGCACCAGAGCAAACGGGGTTTGGCTGTTGGTTAATTGGATTGACTCATGTGGCAGCCTGAAGACTTCTTCTGCTTCTATTTTACTTGGCTTATCTACTTCTTGTTTTGGGTTGATTCATTGGAGTTTTTCTCATTCTTTTTTAGGTCCAAGACAACTTTGACAAGATTGAATTCAATAGGATGTGTTGGACCCTTTGTGTCAAAAAAAATCTCACGAAGAGTCCTCTGCTCATTGTAGAAGAAGATGCATTTAAAATATGGGTTATTTTCAACTTTTTATCTGAGGACAAGTACCCATTAATTATTGTGCCGGAAGAGGTAAGGCATGGCTCTAGAGAGTTTGTCACATGATCATATTGGCAACGAATAGAACTGGCTGGACCGTTTGTGCTGATTCAGTGTAGATGTGGCAGGAGATCCTTGTCTGGTGTTTTTGGGTAAGAGACAAAGCAGCCTGAATCTAGAAAAGCCCCACACTTGATTTGTGCAGCGGGAGCCCACTTCTCTAAATTGATTTGATTATAAACAAATCCATTTTCATGTCCTAAGAGCTTTATTTATTATGAGTCACAAACCATAAAAACTGACCTAGCTGTAGTAGCACACATCTGTAATCTTAGCACTCTGACAGATGAGGCAGGTGAATTCCAAGTTTGAGCCCAACCTGGGCAAGTTGGTGAGACTGTGTCTCAGAATGAAATACAAAAAAGGCTAAGGAGGTAGCTCAGTGCAAAAACCCTGGTTTAATCCCCAGTATTGAAGGAAAAAAATGGCAGAATCATGCAGCCAACACATAAAATCCAGAATGTTCTCAAGGCTGTTTAATGGGGTCAATACCATTTTTGTTTTAGAGTGTAGAGTGGTGAACTTTTACTGGACTTTTAAAAGTACACACACACACAAAAAATAAGTAGATGAAAAGTGAGAACCGTTTGTTTTGTTCTGGGTATTTTCTTTAAGATCCCAAAGAGGGAAAAAGTAGAAGGTTTCTGTGCAGTCTTACTGCCCTAAATTGTTACACTTGTAACTCCTTCTCATTACAGTGTAAAATTTGGAAAAGAGTAATAATGTAAAAAATTAAAATCAGTTGTAGTTTTCCCACTTAAAAAAGTCATCTGAAACCCCTTAACCTTGGACAGACTATTTAAACTCTCCAGTTTTAATTTCCTTGCCTATGAAGTAAGGCTAATCATAGTGTTTGTACTAAGAGTTGTGAGGTTCTTCATTTAAAAGGACTTGGTCCCGTGATTGGTTGTAATATATGCACTCAGTACGTGTGTGGACTCCTCTAACACTTGTACTGCATACATGTTTGCATACTGCTCTGCGTATTTCCTTAAGAAATGTCCCGCCGTGGATTTCTGAATCCTAGGAAATGTACATTTAAGATATTAAATGAGCAAGGCACAGTTGCCTTTCAGAAAGGCTGTACCAGTTCATTCATCTGACAGAAGTGATTGTGGGTGCCTACTTTTCCTGTCCTGCCAGTATGGAGTCTGGTGACTATGTTAGTGGAACAGCTGAAATCTGTTTAAAGATGTACACTTTAATATTTTATTTAAAATCATCCAACATTTATTGGCTGCCAGCAATAAATGAGGCACCAAGGGGATGTCTTCAAGGAAATTACTGTGTACTGAGGAAAAATAGAAGTTAGGTGTAACGTAAAGCAAAACAGACCACCTGTTCTAAGAGAGATGCAGATTGTTTCCAGCATAGGAAGTAAGGGAGCAGAGAATTCTTTTAAAGAGGAGCACTACAATGTAGTTAAAAGAAAATTCTTAAACTTTTAAGTCACCAGGTGCCAGGCAGTAAATATTTGAGACTTTGTGGGCTTTCAGGGCCGTGCTGTCTGTCAGAAATACACAGCTGGCAGTGTGTGGAAACGGTCACAGACAGTATATAACTGTGTCTCAGTAGAGCTTTCATTGATAGATGCTGAAATTTGAATTTAATGTAATTTTCATGAGTCATGAAATATGATTTTGATGTTTTTCTCTAACATGTAAAAATTTAGAAACTAGTTTTAGATCATGGGTATAATAAAAGCAAGCAATGAGCCAGGTTTGACTGGTGGGTTGTAATTCGTTACACCTTGGTTAGGAGATAGGCTCTGGGGTCAGATGTCCTGGGTTTGGATTCTGGCTCCATCACTGTCCACTATGGTGTGACATTTGGCGAATTTACTTACACTTCGGTTTTCTCAACTGCAAAATAAGGCTCATGTCGGTATCTTCTTCCTGACGTTCTTCTGAGAACTGTATAAAAAGAATGCCTCGGGGGCTGGGGATTTAGCTCAGTGGCATAAGCACCTGCCTTGCAAGCAGGCGGTCGTGAGTTCGATCCCCGGTACTGATAAAAAAGACAAAAAGGCAAAAAAAAAAAAAAAAAGAATGCCTAGGAAGTAGTCGTTGGGTTGGCTGTCCTGTTTGTGGAAAAGATGGAACTTGTACTGGCATTAGAGGGTAGACGGGTTTTGAGTAATGGAGAAGCCAGAGGAGAAGACTTCTGGATGAGAGAGAACATGAGTAGGTTTGATAGGAAGGAAGAGACTGAAGTGGGAGTTGGAGAGCCAAGGACAGAACCTTGGGACTGTCTCTGTAGTGGGAGGAAGTGGGTTTGGTAGAGGAAGCTGACCTGAGCAAGCTGGGAGGCGGGCAGAGAGCCGGGATGGTGTTGAGTTATGGGTGCCGAACAAACAGAAATCTGCAAGTCTCAGCAAGGGGGTTACTGGCATTACCTGCTACAGAAAATGAGATGCTGGTAAGAAGGTGCCCTTGGGCTTAACAATTAGGTGATCATTAATGATCAGAAGGCAATTTTATAGTAGTAGTAGGAGCAGCTTCTTAGTGTTGTATTATGTATTCATGTGTGTTAAAGGGGAAATAAAAAAGAAAGACATGTTATGGAATTTTTGTCCAGGAAAACTGTCTAGCTTAGTACAAAGACATATAGAAGGAAATGAAAGCCAGGTATGGTGGCACTCATCTGTCATCCTACCACTCCAAGAGGCCGAGGCAGAAAGATTTCAAGTTCGAATCCACCCTGATCAATTTAGGAAAGTGTCAGAATTTTAAAAATGGTTGGGGATATAGCTCAATGCAGAGGTCCTAGGTTCACTTCCCAGTACTGCCAAAAAAGGGGTGGTGGTGGTGAATATAGAAAACACATACCAGTGGGGTTTTTAAATAGTGGCTCATGCTTGGAAGGACTATGTAAATAAGATTTCCAGCATCTTTTTGCAAGACATTTTGTAGTTGCATTCAGTATTTCAAATTTATTTGTGGTTTTTGAAACTGGAAGTGGACTAGGCCCCTTATCTTCGGTGTTTTGTTTTTATCTATCACTAAAACATTCATGGTGAATTTGAAAGTGACCTTGTCCTGACTGCCGAATTAGTGATTAGCAGGGAGACTTAATTTATCCCTCAGTGTGGCAGCACTTGCTTGGTGGGGAACTTGTCATGGGCTTTAAGTCATTACTGAGCTTCTGCCATAAAGGGAACCAGTCAGCATTGACTTCCTGACCACTCTGCCCAAGAAACCCAAGATTTCTGTCCCAGATGGACTGAAGAATGGGACCCACGTGGGCCTTGATGTGCATCGTGACTCTGACTCATCCATGCAGCCCAGAGTGCAGGCTGCTTGGACAGGCAGGCTGCCGACCTTCCCTCTGCAGGCTGGCATGTGGGTTTTGGTCCTGTTTCAGAGGCTGTGGAGAAAAGAACGCCCTTTCTTCGATTCATTAGCATAGGAGGCGGCCTCCCTTGTCCTGTTACTGTTTGGACTTACTTTGTGCTGTGATGGCCTAGCTGCCTCAGCATTTCTTCCCCTTAGAAGTAGAATTAGAGTGAGCCTTGGGGTTGCTTGGCTGCTGAACCAGCCTCCTGAGGTTTAGCATGTGGACTCATGCTCACTGAGTGCTTGGCGTGACATCTGGCATGTCACCCAAGTTTGCACTGTATTGTGGAAGACACATCTTGTTAGATTTTACTTCTTTTCAAAATAATTTTATAGTGTTTAAAAAAAACTATTTGAACTATGATGTCAGGGGTTGAGAGGAAAACAATTAGATTCAGGGCACAGAATTTATAATAATATTTATTGATGGTCATCCAGAGTTTAACACAAGAAACTGCAGAAGTCACAACACTAAAGACACAGAATATACACCTAAGGGCCTGGATCCCACAGCATTGTCCTGCATGAGTCCAGATGAAGACCTAGAGCCCATGACAGTGCCTCTCACAAGTCCAACTGGAGGTCTAGAGCCCATGAGAAGGACTTATGCCAATATCTTTTATGGATCTGTTCTGGGAAGACCCAAAGGTCAGCCGTGGAAGCTAGAAAGTCTATGCCAGTAAGGTGAACGAGCTGTGCTGGTAGGTACACTGGAGCCGAGAAGGCATGCTTATAATAAAGACCAGGGCTGCCCTGAAAAGCACTGTGGCCATCCTCAGCAAAATGGAGGTCCTGAGCTCCTCCGACGTTAAGCACAGTTGAGTACATGCGAGAAAGCCAGCATGATGAGTTTCTCCTGGGGGTTAAACAGCACACATCTTCCCCTCTGGACCAGGAAGTGATGCTTGATGTAAGGACCAGAGCTCCCCCAAAATGAATTCTCTCACAAAGCTCCCCACCTCCTCCAGTGACAATGGTCGAACTCACACTGGGGAAACTAGTCATGCTGAGCTCTTCCAGGAGAACCAGTGGCTCAAACAGCAACACGTAGGAAAACCCACAAGGCCTCGCTTCTGCTTCTCCATGTCTCTGTGCTGACAACTTTCCTCAGGCGGAACATCTGTGCTCAGCACCATGCTGATTTAATCCAGCTGGTGTTAAGTTGACCACCAGTTTTTAATCCATAACAAACTAGTTCTACATTTACAGCTTTTAATAAACCTGTAATATAAAAATATTCATTTAAAAAGTAGATTTTGAGGGGCTGGAGATTTAGCTCAGCGGCATAAGCGCCTGCTTTGCAAGCAGGCAGTCGTGAGTTCAATCCCTGGTACCAATAAAAAGGAAAAAAACCAAAAAAAAGGTGGATTTTGAAAAATAATATCTTAATTTGTCTTGAGTGTATACCTTTGTAACTTGAAATCCTCTCAACAGTTTTTTAGGCCTTAAAATTTAAAGTAATTTTTATGTTTTCTGTAAGCCGCCTGCCATAATGACAATTTGCAGTTTTTAAGACCAGAGTGTTTAAGAAAGACTAAACTTCAGTTATTTACTATATGAGATGTAACTGTGGCAGTTGAATGAATATTACATTAAGTGATACAGATAATAAATTTGCATTCGATTCAATTTTCTGTCACCCAGAAAATAGTGTTCAGGATGTTAAGTAAATACTTAAATGACTTACATGATGAAGTTAAGATGTTTTTATTACACAGATTTCAAGAAATAGTATGTTTCCAGTTGAGTTGCTTCTGTAATTTTCTTCAGATGATATTCCTGGAAATATGTGTCTGTAAAGTAGTTCTTACATAATTTTCATTTCCCACAGAACCAGGAACAAAACAGGATGTGTTGCCTGTGGACTTAGAAGAATTGCCTTGATATAGAAAAAAAAAAAAAAAAAAAAAAAAAAAAAAAAAATCAAACCTCAAGTAGTTTTTTTTTTTTTTTTTTTTTTTTTTTTTTTTGTCTTTTTCGGTACCAGGGATCGAACTCACGACTGCCTGCTTGCAAGGCAGGCGCTTATGCCGCTGAGCTAAATCCCCAGCCCAAACCTCAAGTACTTTTAAGAGACTGTAAATGAAATAAAACCTGAATTGTTATTAAACCAATGAATGCCCCTCTTAATGATGAGAGAGGCATATTTGTTAATGTAACAAATCTTTGAGCTGAAGGCCTAGAAAATCACATGGAGCTTGCAGGTTTATTCTTGGTTATTTTTGGTGCAGCTTGCTTGGAAGGAGGAAGTAAGCTGCTTCCTGAAACTGAATGGGCTCTTAGAATTGATGTGGGCCCCAGGAGACTACGGGGTGGCGTATGATTTATACTGAATAGTGGTGTAACTGAATAGTGGTGAATGGTAATGTTTGTCCTTGGTTGCCACATTACAGTGAATCAAAAAGACCTTGAGTTACTGGGTTATGATAAATGTATGACTGTTTTGAAAGTCAACAAGAAATGCACCTAGATTCGTCAGCTGTCCATCACAGCTAAATGCTGAGCAGATCGTGCTGGGCACGGCAGCCTTACAAGGATTTGGGGCACCTTCAGCAGGCTCAGGATGTACCTGGGAAGCTGTGGCGAGCTGAGCTGGTGACTAACAGGCACTTTCTGAATCACGAACAGATCACCTGATGCTGAAGAGGGAACTGAAGGGTGGTGTGAGGGGCCTGACTGCGTTCAGAGGCAGGGCCACGGCTGTTTCCTGCCTTGTGCACGTGGGCAGTGGGCCATGCCATCTTGCCACACCCTTTGCAGTGTGTACACATGGACACACACGTGTGCTTCGGCCTCGCCACTGACACTTCTCCTTGTGCCTGTGCTGCTCGTACCCAGACTGTAACCACATAACTGGGGCCCTTCTTTTTGCTGTCCTTAGGGAGCTTGAACTTCATGTTACTGGCGCGTGAGAAATTATTTATGTTAGTGCCTTTTGACTTTTTTTTTTTTTGGAGACAGGGTCTCACTATGCAGTTCAGGCTGGCCTTGAGCTCACGTTACAGCGCAGGCTGGTCTCAAACTTGCAGTCATCCTCTTGCCTCAGGCTACTGAGTGCTGAGGTTACACGCGTGCGCCACCACACCCGGCTTTCTTTTAACTTTTTTTAGTCTCTTCAGTGTCTTGATTTTAATATTTTTCTTTCTCTTATGTTTTCTGACCCGTTTTCCACTTCTCTCTTTGCTTTCCCCTCTCATCTTTTGAACCATTTCCCTTTTGTCTCTTCTACTCTTTATTTTTTTACTTCTGTTTAAGAGCCAAAACAATACTATAATAACTAAGATGTCTTAACAAGAGGAAAACCTAAGTATGTTTTTCCCACAAATAAAGATTTTCAAGTACCTACATATGCTTTTTTTTTTAATCCGATGTATGCTTTTTAGGGTATAGAATAATGTTTCTCATTGAAGTAAGTCACAGAACTATTCTTTCTAAAATTTTGATATATTGTGAGTGTACATTTCTTTGGATATATGTGTTTCCATTCTTATTCTGTTAAAATATATTATGTCACACACAATGCTATGACCTTGGGAGGCTGAGGCAGGAGGATTGCTGCAAGTTTGACGCCAGCCTGCGCTACAAAGTGAGTTCAAAGCCAGCTTGAATTGCATAAGTGAAACTCAGTCTCAAAAAGACAAAAACAAAAAACAAACCAAAACCCACCAAAAAACAAAACAAAAGTGCTATAGCCAAATTAATGGAAATACACATAAGGAAAAAAAATAACTCAATCCTATTTGTAATAAAACTTGCTCTTTCTGTGCTTTTTTAGAGAAATGTTAGTCAAAATATTTAGACAACCTTTGTGCAGTAGAAACCATGAGTAAACTTAATTTTGTGTTATTCTTCACTGTTATTTCATAAATGCAGTTTTAAGTGAATAATGTTGCATGTATTGGTAACATTAATGGGAGTACCTATGACACACCAAGCATTATGCGAATCACAGTTTTCCTTCGTATCCCTATAGTAGTTCTGTATGATGCAGATTGTCATGCCCTTTCATAGATGAAAAACTTGAGACTAGATTCATTTTGGTTAGCAGATACTCACTGAGCGCTGCTGTGTTTCATCTACCATGCTGAACTCTGGGAATTTAAAGATGAGTGGGATACGGTCCTCCCTGGAAGGAGTTCAGAGGATGGTAGACAAGCAAAGGACTGAAAGCGTAATTTCAGGTCACGTTCAAGATGCTGAGTGCATTGACTAAGAAGGCTGCTAGAGTGCGGGCCCCAGGTTAGAGCTGGTGGGGAGGCTCACTCAGCAGGGCTCCTCGGACCCGGTGTGGGTGCAGCTGCTTCAGGTGCCTGCAGCTTCTTTCAATGCAGCTTCTCCCTGAGGTCTCTGCTGGGGTCTGAGAGCCTTCGTTTCTGAGTAGGAGTGTCCTAAAGGGTGTAGGAGTCGCTAGGTGGAAAAATGGGAAAAGGTTAAACGGATGAGTAGTGTGGGAGAAGCAGAGAGCCAGTGTGTTAAATGGGAAAACCACTTACAGTCCGTGGCTAAATCCAGCCCACAGCCTATTTTTGTACAGCCGCTGTGCTAAGAATAGTTTTTTGATTTCTAAAGGCTTTTTTTTAAAAAAAGAATATGTACTAGAAATAAACAGAGTCCAAATATTTATTCTTCAGCCTTTCATAGCAAAAGCTTGCAACCCCTAATCTGTGATACAGGTGGTGAGGTGGTATAGGCCAGTGGATAATTTTGCAGGGGCGCAGAGAACGTACTCTTGATCTTTGGAGGAACAGGGAGTTAGAAAAGGCTTTAGGGAAGTACAGGCTCAAATCGTGTTTTGAAAATGCCCTTTGTCGGAATGGAGGTAAAAGGGGCCAGCACTGGAGGCAAGAGTACCAAGAGGGTCGCCCGCACCAGGGCAGATGGGCGGACAGCTTTAAGCACTTTTGGGATGATGTTTTTAATTTTCTCTTGATTGCAACCCATAGGAAGATAAATAAACATTTTATTTCAGGACCTAGCACACACAATGCAAAATTTATCACAAAACAGTATTTGTCTTTTGTAATTGAACTTGAATATTTGTCATTCCATTCCAGAAACTTGTGGTCACTACCCATTATGTTGGTTTCATAGTGAGCCATAACCCACGGGCTGCGTAACACTCATCTCAGGGAAGTCACATCCACAGGTTTTTGTCAGTGGTTTGATCTGAAGGGCAGAGAACAATAGTCTTAGCATAGGGAAATACATGAGTGCTGTTTCCCCCAACTGAAACCATTGTAGAAGGGAAAACATTTGGAAAGTAGAGATAATTTATTAATTTTTGTTTTTTTCACATTTCTTATTTTTATTTCAACATTTAAAATATTCGCGGCAGGAATATTGTATTCATTGGCGCTTCCATGGAAGATGAGCCAAACACAGAGTGTAAGCATCCCTCAGTTACGGAGTTACAGTCTGACTGTGTACTTGCCTACACTACAGTTTATGTGGGAAATGGCTTTAAAAAAAACTTGGACTTTGCACTAATAATTTCCGTAAAAAGTGAGCCACAAATTCAGGAAACATACCTACATTTTAGTAATTTTTTAAAAATTTGAAACACACCTCTGTCAGGCCCACTTATATGAATATTCAATTCTTTCTTTTTTCTCCTTATTTGTTTTTTTAACATGCTGAGTTTGAGAGCACTATAGGATTCCCAGGTTTTTTTTTTTTTTTTGGTGCCAGGGATCGAACTCATGACAGTGCACTTGCAAGGCAGTCGCTTATACCACTGAGCTAAATTCACAGCCTCTGTTTCCCAGATATTTTTAGTAAATAAGACATTAACTTCCCACTCAGTGTTACTGCCTCTGTTTTGCTTAACTGCTATTATTTCAACAGCAGCATTTTCTAATTTAGAATAAAGGCATGATGTTTCAGGATTTAGTGAGCCTTTCCAGCTCAGACTGAAAATTCAACCGTTGTTTACAACACTGTTGGTATTCTAATGGAGACAAGAGCAGTAAGAGCTGGTCATGGTGGTGCACTCCTGGCCCTGTAATCCCAGCACCTGGGAGGTTGAGGCAAGAGGATCCTTACAAGTTTGAGACCAGCCTGGCCCAAGGGCAGCCTGAACCACATAGCAAGACCCTAATTCAAAAAGCAAACAAACAAAAACTCAGTAATTGGTTTATGTAGGAAATTTGTAGGCTGGAGAGTAACTTGCACATCATACTTTGAGATGTTTAATCTAGCACTCGTATGTTATTTCAGTAAGATTAATGTTCCAAGTATATCAAACTGTCCAACAGAGGAATCAGATAACAGCATTAGCTTTTATATTTGCAGTTTGCTTTGTTCTGTATACAAATATATTATACTATTAGAAGGTTATTGGTTTTGATTCTTTTACTTATTCTAGGCATGTGCAAAACCATTGGCATTTTTTTCATTCCCTTCTCCTTGATAAAAGGAGATTCTTTAAAGAAGCACACTTTTGGAACGGTAAGAGTATTTCCTGAGTTGACCATATCAGTATAAATAACATAAATGCATATCTGTGTTCATATTTTTGAACCTGTATTAAATTTTTTTTGAACTGGAAAGTAATTTTCTTAAAATTTTTACAGATTGAATACCTACTTAAGAAACTTACAGAAGTTATGGGAGGAGGTTGGCAGAAAGAACAATTTGAAGATTATAAAGTCAACTTTGATGGTAGTAAAGAAGGCCTGTCCGCATGGGAGCTCATTGAGCTGATTGGAAATGGACAGTTTAGCAAGGGCATGGACCGGCAGACAGTGTCCATGGCAATTAATGAAGTCTTTAATGAGCTTATACTAGATGTTTTAAAACAGGTAAGAGTCCTGTAACATTGTATTTTTCCTCTTTAGAATTTGAGGTTTGAAATAAAACAATATTTTTGCTATGAAGATGGTATCAGTCACTTACAGCCTTAAACTGGCTAGAACAAGAGTGAATTTTCTTATTTCCACAATTTTTAAAAAAAATTTTGGTACTGAGGTTCGAACTCATGACCTTGAACTTGCCAGGCAGGTGCTTGTGCTGCTGATAAACTTGCAGTCCTCTACAATCTTTTACTAGACTTTCATTGTAAAAAAATTAATTGTATTGGTGCACTTTTGATATACATACCATCACATTTATCATAGGAATTTGTACCTGTACATAATACATCTTCCTGGGGATTTAGCTCAGTGGCACAAGCACCTGCCTGGCAAGCACAAGGTGGTAAGTTCGATCCCCAGTACCAAAAAAAAAAATCTTGATTCTTTTTTTTCATTCCCCTTCCCTCCCTTTAATTCCCTTTCCCTTCCTTCTTTATAAAAGTCTTGCGTCATCCCCTCCACTTCTTACTGTCTTTTTGAGACAGGGTCTTGCTATGCAGTTCAGGCGTTCTCTCCTTTTGTTATTCCTTTTCCTTTCCTATGAAAACACAGGCTTTCATTTTTAATTTTTTAAATTTATCTTTTGTTTTGCTTTTTGCAGTGCTGAGTTTTGAACCCAGGGCCTCACCCATGCTAGGTAAGCTCTCTACTACTGAGCTAGTACCCAGCCCTGGGCTTGTATTTTAAAGTTTTGAAGTGCAGTTAAAAATTGAGACTATTTTGACTATTTTTAAGGGACTGTTTAATCACATTTCCAAACTGTTTTTTAAGAAGTACTTTCTTATCACTGCATGTCTATATTCATTAATCTAGAAGGACACTCATGGCATATTGTCAGTGAAAAGGACTGGTTGCAGGCCAGTAGCTACCTGGATCTTTTTCAAAGAGCAGGATATGTGTGTGTAGAGCCGTCAGCAAGGGCGCTCTCCAGGTGCTCGCAGCGATGGCCTCCGGACTGTGGGATTTCAATGAATTTTATTTTTATATTCCTTTTCTGTATTACTAGACTTTCTACATGAGATTTACATATTATATATATATATATATATATATATATATATATATGTTTTTGGGGGTTTTTTTTGAGGTTGTTTTTGAGCCAGGATCTTTATGTGTAGTCCAGGCTGGCCTCAGACTCACTATGGAGCCCCAGCTGGCCTTGAATTTGTGATCCTCCTGCTCATCACTACCAGGTGTTTACATTATAGTTGTGTACCACCTCACCTGGAAATTTTATATTATTTTTGTAAGATTAAAAAATACTATTTTAGAAAAACATACTTCCATGTAGAAAAGTAGCATGTTATTAAATTATTACTTTCGTTCTCTGAGTACCCAGCATAAATGTGATATACTGCTGATAATATATCTACTGAAGCTTAATGCTTGTTAAATAGAATTTATGTGTTTTTAGTGAATCTTTCAAACTTTTTACATTATGATATTGAATAATGACTTTGCTGCATTTCCTTGGTTCCTCTCTTGTTCAGTAATGTCATTTGTTCCTTTTCTTTGTTGATGGAGTCCATCAGAAAACATTCATTGAGGCATAATGTGCATAAGGTATAACTTACATAAGGCATTGAGGCATAACTTAACTTGTTTTTTATGTTACAAAGAGGTATGAGACCTGGTCTCCATCTGAAGACTCCTTGGCCAGATAGGATGACAGATTTAATAGAAGTACAGATGAACTGCAGTATGAGATAGAGTTTGCTTTAAATGTCTGAGAATTAAGAAACTAAACAAGCTATATGATTAGAACTTAGTATATTAAACAAAACTTTCAGCCAAGTTAATATTATACATAGAATGATTTGTAAAATTGACCATATGCTGTCAGCACCTGTAGATTTAATAGTAAAGTCTTTGTACACCCTGAAGGACTTTATCCTAGTCTGCAATTTTGTGAAAGTGAATTGTGCATCTCTGAGTGTGGAAGGAGAAGAAGGCCATGGAGGATGACTTTAGAAGCCAGTTTTCAGACTCCCGGTGCAGGTCTTTTCTGCTCTTCTGGAGCAGAGCTCCTGTCTGGAACAGAGAGTGCTCAGGTGGAAACGTAGGTTAGTACCGGAGGGCTGAAATCCTGAAGAAGGTAGACTTGGCCAGCATTTTCATTGATTTACTCTACTAAAGGTTTTCATTTTCCAGTAATCACTGACAGGAAGTCTTTTTTAGAAATAAAATACGACCATCCGTGGCTAAGCCTCCTGCACCCGCTTATGTGCTTCTGCTGTATTGTTTTGCACCAAATCCAAGACATTTTATTTTACCTGTAAATACTTCAGAAAGACAAAGCTCTGACATTGAAGCACTCTTTTATCTGCCTACACACAGAGCAGGGAGTGATCTCTGAGATGTCTGAGACTGTATGCGAACTTGGGTCCACACGTGCTTGTGTGGGTTGGATTAGGTGTCATGGCCCTGGCTTTCATCCTTCCTGAAAGGGTTCCTGATCACAACCTTCATGTATTTAGGATCATATAGCACACAGTAAAGGAGACCCGCAGTGGAGATCTACAAGGAACAAAAATGACTCTCACAAATAAAAGACAGACATTTACTCAGATACTGTTTCATAGGGTTACATGATGAAGAAAGGCCATCGACGGAAAAACTGGACTGAACGCTGGTTTGTCCTAAAACCCAACCTGATTTCGTACTATGTGAGCGAGGATCTGAACGATAAGAAAGGGGACATCGTCCTGGATGAGAACTGCTGCGTGGAGGTAAGGCGCCTGTTCTGCCCCAGCGAGCTTAGCTGGTGCTGCCCCCTGCTGCTGCAGCCGCTTCTCAGCCTCCACCCTCGGGGCCTGCAAGTGATCCCCAAATTCATGCTGCTGACTAAAAATTAAAGATGCAGGACAACTTTTTTCTAATACGATTTATTTGTATCTTTTATTTGTGTAGAGATTAGTTCTAATTTATTTGGACATTTAAGGAATTTATTGAATAAAATAGTTATAAAACAGAACATAAAGCAAAAAAATAAATGTCTAGTAATACGGTGTTTGAAATCTTGAATACACTGAAATAGCTGGGGCATTTTAAGTACAATAAATAAAAATAGATTGAGTGTCATATTTGAATACTTTGACTTTCAGGATACTTTTACTCATGGCTTCTAATTCTATAGAAAAATGAAGTCCTTAAACACATCAGTTTGTTTGAGATTTCAAATTTCTGATTTGTATATAAAATCTCCCTGTGCCTGTGTTTGTTGAAGAACATTTAAGTACCTGTGTTGTCACTTAAACTGAAGTGCATTTTGAGGAAGGAAATGGTATAGATCAATATTTTGAGGTATGCAGTGCCCACAAACAGGATCTGCTTAGATTCAACCAAGCAGAGACCCACAAGAGTAACACAGGCCACACCTTGTACTCATAAGAACATCAGACAAGACCACAGGTGCCAGCAGCAGTATCTGTGGCACAGGAAGAGGAGGCCAGGGTACCAGGGGTAAGTGTTACCCCTGCTTAGAAACCTTGCATATCGTTGGGGGTCAGTGCTGTGGGTGGAATTTCCAGAGCTCTGCAGAGGATGCAGGCAGGTGCAGAAATCACTGTGCTCAGGTAAGCCCAGGCATGGCATCCTGCACTCCACGGGTGAGTGTAGCCCTCCAGGTGCTCTTAGCTCTCAGATGGGGCAGACCAGTCGGGTCAGTGTCACTGTCAGTTGCCTGGGCATTGCTATCGCCTGGGCAGCGGCCTTAGATGACTGGCAATTTGCATTTACAGGCTACTTTTCACCAACACTGAGTTTCAGTAAGATTTGTATAAATTTTTTTAGATTGAATTTAATTTAGATACTTAAGAATAAAAATTTTAAAGCACTTTGCTTTCTGTTTAGTCCCTGCCTGACAAAGATGGAAAGAAATGCCTTTTTCTAATAAAATGTCTTGATAAGACCTTTGAAATTAGTGCTTCGGATAAGAAGAAGAAACAAGAATGGATTCAGGGTAAGGCAATTTGTATTACTTGCCATGATAAAATTTCTGCTAATGTTTTACTTTTGAATTTTGAGAAAGATGCTAAAAGCATTGTTTCCTTATTGTCTAGTTATTTATACATGTGACATAATAGCTAAAAGAAAAACAAATTAGTATGAGTTCTCAATTTTATTTTTTAGTACTGGGACTTGAACCAGGACTTTTGTGGTGAGCTACAACCCCAGCCCTTTTTCATTTAAAAAAAAAGGGTGGGAGGTTGTGCTGGGGATCAAACTTACGATCTTGCGCTTGCCAGGGAGGCGCTTATGCCATTGAGCTAAATTTCCAGCCCTTATTTTTTAAAACTGTGATATAGGGTGTTGCTAAATTGTCAGGGGTGAGGGTCAAACTTGCCATCCTCCTGCCTCAGCCTCCCCAGAGTGCTGGGGTTATAGGTTTGTGCCAGCAGGCCTGGCTGAGTTCTCAAATTTTTCCTCAGTTAATTTACATAATGGACTTGTGAGAAAACTATGATAGGAGATACTAGGTTTTATTTCTTGCTATTATTTAAAGAGTATGGCCTTTCCTCTTGAATACAATGAAGAATGTTAAGGTGATATTCTTTTTTTTTTTTTTTTTTTTTTTTTTTTTTTGTCTTTTTCGTTTTTACCGGTACTGGGGATCAAACTCAGGACTGCCTGCTTGCAAGGCAGGCACTTATGCTGCTGAGCTAAATCCCCAGCCCCAAGGTGATATTCGTCAAACGTTAAGTGTTGAGTTTTTGGTATTATGTAAAATCAAAGAGGGATTAGGTAGATTTATTTATTTGTTTAATTATTTATCTATTGTTTCTGTGAGACAGGGTCTCATGAGCAGTTCAGGCTGGCCTTGAGCTCACTTTGTAGCTCAGGCTGGTTTCAAGCTTGTGGTGATCTTCCTGTCTCAGCTTCCCAAGTGCTGGGATTACAGGTGTGTACCAGCGTGCATGACTGTTCAGTAGTTTTTAATATTTCTATTTAATATTTCTAAGTTTATTTCCATAAGAAATCAGTAATGTCAACCAGCAGGCAGAGTGGCAGACACCTTTAAGTCCTTGCTGCTTGTTATGCTGAGACAGGAAGATTGCAAATTTGAGGCCAGCCTGGACAATTTAGCAAGATCCTATCTCAAAATAAAGGTCTGGGTATGTAGCATAGTGGCAGAATGCTTGCCTAGCATCCATGAGCCTTTGGGTTCAATCCTTAATACAGAAAAATAACTCAAATCATAATTTCAAAAACACAGACATGCTGGACATGGTGGCACACACTTGGAATCCCAACACTTAGGATGAGCAGGAGGATCGCATGAGTTTGAGGTCTGGGCTACGTAAGTAAGTTCAAGTCCAGCCTGCACTACATATTGAGAACTTGTCTCTAAAACAACAACAACAAACACCCACACACTTTTGAATTAATAACTTTTAAACCAAAGTATTGCTTTGTTCTAGGTTAATAACTGAGGGTGAGGAGAGAGGGGTCTGGGACTTGGGCTACGTGGTCCAGGCTGAGCTCGAGCTTATCTCCTGCCAGTCTTTTCAGTGCTAGGATGATAGGTGTGCACCAACACACCCAGCTGCATAGGAGACTAGTGTAAGCCTGAAAGGGTTCTGCATATTGTACTCTTCAACATAGATGAAATTACACTCTGATTCTCATCTGTAGGAATGAGGGTAGTAATAGTACCTACCACTCAGGGTTCCTGTGAGTGTTAAAAATTTAATAGTGACAGATACACTTGCACATTTTCAAAATAATATACATTGCAGAAATTTTTGCAATAGAGTCTGGACAATTTGCCTGTCTGTTAATTGGGAAATGATTGAATACAGTAGATGTGATATGCACAGTGAAGTAGCTACTGTACAGTGCTCAGGTATGGTACTCTGTGTGCCAATATGGATTCCTCAAGGTAAAGTAAGGCAAGAAACTGAGGCTTGGAAGAGTGGACTGTGCCAACATTTGTGTCAAAATAAAGTGGAGAAAATGTGTGTGTGTGTGTGTGTAGACAGAAAGAGAGAGAGAGGCACAGCTGTTTAAAATTTTCTTAGGAAAGATGTACATGGAACTGTTGGCATAAGTTGCTAAGGGGGCAGGAAACTCAGTACGGGGGGGGAACAGAGACTTTTCCTCAGTATCTTTTTGTTTTTAAATTTGAACAATGAGTAACATTAGTTAATTTTAAGTACAGTAATTACAGAGTATAGTAATTACAAGGAAAATCAGATTTTTGTGAAAATTAGGTAATGATACTAAGGATATGCGTGTAAAATAATGTATGTATTAAGTCATGTGGAGCAGAGCTGGTGGTGTGGGCCTGGCGGCCTCTGTATCCTAAAAGGCTGAACTTTTATTTGTTCATTTTTTTGTTGGTACCGGGGATTGAACTCAATACCTCATTTTTACCAGGCAGGCTCTTGAGCCACTGAGCTAAACTCCTGTCCAAGGCTACACTTTCTGACAAGATAGATAGAGAAGGGACTTGAGAGTGTTGTCATAAATTTTCAAAATGCATATAGTACAAATTAAGCATCTTTATAAGTGCAGATGTCCAGCTAAGGAATTTGGGAGTTGGAAAAGACTTTAAAGGGCAGAGCTCTGATTTTGGAGAAGAGGAAACATGTTTGCCCAGGGTTCCATGGCTGCTCACTTGCAGAGTCTGAGCCCACACTGGGACTTCACACTCTGGTTTTCCTCTTTCTGTGTCATTTGCATGGTAGGCATTCGAAGAATAAAGTGTATTTCCCATTTTTCTCCTCTGCCATGCACAGCCATTCATTCTACCCTCCATCTGTTGAAGCTGGGCAGTCCTCCACCGCACAAAGAAGCCCGCCAGCGGCGGAAAGAACTCCGGAGGAAGCTGCTGGCGGAGCAAGAGGAGCTGGAGCGGCAGATGAAGGAGCTGCAGGCTGCCAATGAAAACAAGCAGCAGGAGCTGGAGACCGTGAGGAAGGTGGGTGCCAGGTGGGGCTGCGGGGGTAGGGGGAGTCCCCAATCCAGCGCACGGGCCAGGGCTGCTGTAGTCTGGGCCTTGGATCTGCGGACACCAGTCTAGTGCACCTTTGGGGAGAGGTTTTGGTGAAGCATGATCACTCTTGAAGCGTCGTGGTTTCCCAGCCATGACAGTGGGAGGATCTCAGAGCCGTGAAAAGGTCTGATTGACTGGAGAGGCAAATTTATAAGAGTAATGAGCACATTTGAACATTTGTCTGAGAAAGGCAGAAGTTTCATCCCTGAGAATGTTGTCAAGGCTGCTTTTGGGTACCAGGACCAGGGGCTGCTGGTCTTAAGGTGCCCCCGCCCCAGCTCCCATATGTATCATGAGGAATACAGACTGTGAGTTTTCGTTACTGTTTAGTCAAAGTTACGGTCTGGTCAGCTTCTCCTTCTGTCTCAAGATTCAGTGATCAAGTAGCTCAGTGCGTAAGAGTCAGTGATCCCTGGGAAATCTTGTTTCCTGGTTACAGCAGTGACAGGAGTCCTCACACATGCTCAGGGTCTTTATTTGAACACCTCTGGGTACGCCTGTCTGCTATGAATCAGTGCACGTGTGTGAACCACAAGCTTAGCGACCTTTCTGTGTCTTCTAGCACCTTTTCCCTGGAATGTTGGGGGCTCATAATCTGAGGCCCCACATTCCTGATAGGGTCCCCTTTTGCAGCACTGTGCTGAACTTCCTCTGGATAGACTCAAATATTTCAAGAAGTACTTTTATAATTTTGGGAACCACAGAGGCATACGGTTTTAGACACACTCCTGTCCATCCTGGTAGTTTTGCATTTCCTTTTCCTTCTTCTTTTTCTTTTTCTTTTCTTTTCTTTTCTTTCTTTTTGAGACAGAGTCTTGCTGTGCAGTTCAGGCGGGCCCAGCAGGCACAGGCTGGTCTCAAAGTTGCAACAATCCTCCTGCCTCAGCCTCCTGAGTGCTGGGATTACAGGTGTGCACCACCATGCCCAGCTAATCCAGGTATTTTTCCAAAAGCACTCTTCACTTGCTCATGTTCCCAAATCATTCTTGCATCTTGCCTCCTTCTGCTATAGAACATTTTCTTTAAATCGCCCTTGACGAGCTAGCCTGGCACCTGCATTGCTGCTTCCTATCCTCTGTGCATGCATCACGAATGAATGTTACAGGGTGGAGATGGGGCAAGGTGCTGTGCTCGATGCCTTTTTGTAATTTGTTGAAACTATGAAAATAGGTTGTGCCTGCAGAGAAAAGCATGAAGTATGTGTATAAAAAGAATCACATAGTTAATACTGATGAAACTCCTGCCCAGGTTAGCCACCTAACGAGTTTACCCAGGTATCACTTGGTTACATGCTGACCATCCCAGGTGTCACGTGGGCTGATGTCATTTCAACCAGGCAGTTCTTACGCTGAATAAATTGCATAAAATTGTCATTTTTCTATTTCCTATTATATTTTCTTGTAAAAATTAACAAAAAATATGCAATTTGTGGTCATCTGTACTTAAATATTTAGATTTGTAAGTAGTTAAGATAGATTGCCACTATCTTAGATGCCTTGTTTCCTTTTGCATGTAAAAAACAGACAGTAAGATTTACAGTCTGTGTATTGTTTTGTGATTCGTTTTTACATGTGCTTGGATTCCTGTAACAACTGCAAATGCAGTTCAGTTATGCTTCACCTTTGTGTTCAGACTTTCCCATCATTCCTAAGCTCTGGGAACCACTGATCTATTCTCTGTTCCCAAGAAAGCATGTAATAATTTCACTGATCTGCTCTTACTTTTTGAGATTTTTCTAAATCAGTGTAAGAACAACAGCTTCCTTTATTTCTTTATTTTGGCTGTTCTGTGGTTTTGTACCCTATTGCATGGCTGTACCAATTCCCTATTGATGACCATTGGGGTGTTGGTGTGTGTGGGTCCGTCCATTTGTGTATTTATGTTTTTTTGAGACAGGGTCTTGCTGTATAGTTCAGCCTGGCCTCAAATTCATGGCAGTCCTCCTGCCTGAGCCTTTTGAGTACTAGGATCATGGTTGTGCTCCACCGTGCCTAGCTTTGAGTTATTTTAACAGTGTTACAGGGAATTTGTTTTGGATGCATGATATTTTATCCATGTTACGTGGGTTCTGGAGACCCCTTGGAATAAGCTGTCAGAGGTAGAAGCAGGAGTCCTGAGTGTTTGTACATCTACACTCAGGAAATCCAGGGCAGCGGCACAGGCACCATTATGACCAGAAGAAAAAGTGTCGTAGGGTTTGCCGGTTAGGCGTCCATGCCAGAGACGCCACGCTTCTCCTGTATTTACAATATTTTGGCCAGAACTAGTTTCCTATTGCTGTTGAGAAGTCAGCTGTCAAGTTTACTTGGAATCTGCAGTAAATCAGTTTTCTTGTTTGCTGCCTTCAAGAATTGTTTTGTCGGGGCTGAGGAGAGAACATAATCGCCTGCCTGGCAAGTGCAAGGTCCTGAGTTCAATTCCCAGCACCAAAATAAAAAGAGAGGAAAAAACTTGTTTTGTTTCTGTCATTGACAAGTCTCAGTGTATACTGGGTGTGGTACTCTGTGTTTACCCATCGCACTTCTTAGTTGTGAAATGTTGTCATTTCTTTAGAATTGTTTTCTATCCTTTCCCTCCCCATTCTCCATCTAATCCTTCCCTTACACAGATGCTGGGGTGTAGAATAGTGTCCCACCTTTCTGGGGGCCCTGTTCATTTTTCCTCATTCTTTTATTATGCCTCATTGCATAGTTTCTGTGGCTCTGTTTTCATTAGTCCGCTGGTAGCCCAAATGTACTATTAAGTTTGTAGTAATTTTTGTTTCAGTTATATACTCCTTGACTGCAGAATCTCTATTTGGTTCTTTTTAAAATTTTGTGTCTTTCATGATGTTCTTTATTTGCTAGGATACTGTCATTCTTTCTGTTACTTTTTTCTAATTTTAAAGAATAGTACTTTATTGAATGTTTTATTTACAGAAAAAGATTTAATCTACAAAAAAATGCCAGCTTATGTACCAGAAGAGTTTTCTTAGTTTTCCGTACTGATTGAAATTAAACACTATAAAATCATAGCCACAAAAATGATACTCATCTCAAAAGACTTGACTTAATTTTTAAAGCCCACATTAGAGGATGAGCGCATGCCAAACACTTTGAAAACTAGTATGTAAAGGGAACAGGTCACACAAAATCAGTCACTGGGTAACAAAATAGTTCAGGACAAACTGTGTAGCATATTCCAGCTAATAAAACAGCGTAAGAATCACACCTTCACTGTTCCTCATAATGGATCTAGGCAGTGACCACATCTGGTAGCTCATAGACAAAGGGGCAGCTTGACATTGTGTTGTAAAGTCACAGACTACAGTGTGATCTGCCCCACCCACCTAGAAAGCCTCAGTGTCTACCTACCAGCTTACAAAACCATACTTACTACTTTTTTTTCCCTTTTGGAGACAGAGTCTCACTATGCCATTCAAGCTGGCCTTGCACTCACTTTGTAACCCAGGCTGGTCTTGAACTTGCAACCATCTTCTTGCCTCAGCCTGCTGAGTGCTGGGATGACAGGCGTGCACCACCACACCTGGCTCCCGTTATGTAAGCATGGCTTCCTTTAGTTCTTTGAACATTTTAATCTTTTTTTTTTGGTACAGGAATCAGACTCAGTACCTTGCACTTGCGAGGCAGGTGCTTGCTTTGCACATTTTCATAAAACTGCTTTGATATCTGATCATTTTCCCATGCCTGTTCAAAGGCAGTTTCTGTGGCCCTCCTCCTGACACAGTGCAGGCCGTACTTTCCTGTGTGTGTTTTAATGTTTCAGAATTTTTACTGAAAACTGGGTATTTTAGAAAACACTTTGCAGCAGCTCTTAGTACTGATTCTGTCCCCCCAAGTGCATGTTGTAGTTTGCATATGTGCTTGGCGATTCAGCTGGGCTGTCTCTGGGCTGTTTCCTGGTGGTGTCAAACCTCTGATTGTGCTTCTCAGAGCCCTGCCACCCTGGAGACCCTGATTTTAGCAGAATTCCCTTTGGATGCCTTTCTCTCTGTTAGGCTGCCTGCCTGCCTCTGTTAACATCTTGCCCAGCTGCTAGACTTTACAAATTTCAGAGTGATCACTTTGTGTTTCCCACAGTAACCTGGAACCTGCATTGCCCCACGTAGCCTGATGGCATCAGAGTCAAGCCCACATGTCACAAGGCCAGGTCTTCACATTCGTTCCTGCCACACGAGGGCTCTGCTGCCCAGCTTTCTCCTTCCCAGTTTCTGTCAGAATTCTGGCTGGTCTGTGGTTTTCTTGTTCCTGTGGAGCTGCCAGCCTTCCGTTAGTTCCTTATGATTCAAGTCTACATTGTTTGTGACAGTGCCCTTTGTGTCCAACCCCTGCACCCCACAGTGCTGGACCCCAAGACCTAGGCAAGTGCTCTACCACTGAGCTGCACCCCAGCCCCTCTGCCTGTGTGGGCTGCTTTCCCACAGAACAAGCTGGGACAGGGGTGTTCAGACCCAGGCTTTTCAGCTCACCTGTGAGTGGAGGCTATTGGAGGATGAGAACCCCAGCATTCACCCCCACTTGCCTGGAGTAGAGTTTCAGTAGCATGGAGTTGGGAAGTGAGAAATACTGGCAGTTGCTCTGCTGAGAGTTAGCATAGCCCTGGGAGTGAGCTCAGGGCAGGGGAAGCCCTTGTTCTTGGTTGCATCTACCTGGAGGGAAGTGTCCTTTTCATGAATGCTGTGAGCAAGGAGGGGGAATACACCATGCTTACTGGGGGCTGGTCTGGTCCCTCCCTCCCTCCTCCTCTCTGTCTCTCTCTTTTCTTTGTCTGTCTCTCTGTCTCTCTGGCTTTGTGTCTCTGTCTCTCTGTCTCTTACCTCTTTTCCTTGGTTAGAGCTGGGGATTCAATCCTGGGCCTTGTGTACCCTAGGCAAGTGCTTTATCAATAAGGGACACCCTACCCCAGTAGATTTTCTTAGAGAAATGTTCTCCATTGTGGATCTTCTGCTTCTCTCATGGGTTTAGGTTTGTCCATTTTCCTCTCTAATGTACATCACTGTAACAGTCTCACTTTTTGGGTCTGGGCTTTTGATTGGGTAGAAACTGGAGGAAGCAGCATCCCGTGCAGCTGAAGAGGAAAAGAAACGCCTACAGACTCAAGTGGAACTGCAGGCCAGGTTCAGCTCGGAGCTAGAGCGTGAGAAGCTGGTGAGCACTGTGTGGCCTGCTGGGCCAGAAGCAGCGTCTTTCTCTCTCTCTCTCTCTCTCTCTCTCTTTTTTTTTTTTTTCCAGATGGTCTCACTATGCAGTTCAGACTGGCCTTGAGCTCACTTTGTAGCCCAAGCTGGTCTTGAACTTGCAAAGGTCCCCCTGCCTCAACTTGCCAACTACTAGGATTACAGGTGTGTGCCATCATGCCTGGCAGGGTGGAGGAGTCTCTTGCAGGTCATGCTGCCCTTCCCCTGGTTTAATGTGGGCTGCTGTGACTGGCAAAGACTTGTTCATTCCTTTTAGAGGTAATGAATGATAAAGAGGTGGCTTTGAGGCAGAATGTGACTTCCAGAGAAATCCTGCAGGGGACACTTTTTTCTTGAATCAACTTGTAGAGTGTAAAGGACGGAAAATAGACCAGAGCAGGGACAAAGGTTGTGGTTCGTTTCCTCAGATGCTTTCACTGCTGGCCTGGGTGTGTGTTCCATCTGCACTCCAGGAGTGGAGGACAGGGCTGTCACACAACAGGCTGTGGCCTGGGCAGCGGACAGTGGGCAGCAGGCAGCGGGCAGTGTGGGGCTCTCCCTGGTTCCACGTTAACATGACTGTTTTGCACCCTCAGATCAGACAGCAGATGGAAGAGCAGGTTGCACAGAAGTCCTCTGAGCTGGAGCAGTACCTGCAGCGCGTGCGGGAACTGGAGGCCATGTACCTGAAGCTGCAGGAAGCCCTGGAGGACGAGCGCCAGGCCCGGCAGGATGAAGAGATGGTGCGCAAGCTGCAGGCCAGGTGCCAGAGCAGTTTGCACACTTTGCTTTGCATTCTTACCCTGGGGTGATGGCTTCTTTGAGGACCAGCGCTGCCAGCTGGGGGAGGAGGGTCTGGGCCCTGGCAATGGCTGAGTGCTGGAGAGACCCCGGACGCCTGTCTGGCTCGGTGTTTCTTCTCACACTGGGCAGTCGTATTCTGTCATGGGCTTCCAGCCCTGGGCTATGTGGTCTGGTACTGGTCAGTGCCCACTGGGAACAGGGCAGCCTAGCGTGGAGTGATTGGCGAGTGACTGAGCTATGCTTCCTGTGTGTTGGCCTGATACACCGCCTGAGCTCCACCCATTTGGGCAGGGCTGTGCTGTGGTCTCAGGAGCAGGGACCTGCGGAGAACTCTGTGTGCCTGCCCCTTACAAAGCTGATCCTCACCTGTCAGCATCACCCTCACCCCTCTCTGCAGAAAAGCTCTCGTCTGTCACACCACTCCCTGGGGCCAGAAAGGTTGGGGACCACAGTCCTAGGAGGTGTATCCGGGACCTGAGTTGACTTCTTCACCCTGTACCAGACCAGAGAGGCTCTGAGTCCTTAGGGTGGTGTTGGGGACAGATTCAGGCCAGGGGGCAGCGGGTTTGGGGGCCTAAAGAGGAGAGGTGATAGTACCATGCTGTTTTCTGTTTGTTTGTAAATTTGTATTTTTTTTTTAATCGCTATAGCTTTATAATATAACTTCAGATCTGGCTTTGTGATGCCTTCCTGGTGATGTCCAGAATTACTTTTTAATATTCTGGGCCACTTCCAGTTCCATGCGAATTATAGGATGCTTTCTCCCGTTCGGTGGAGAATGCTGTTGGTATTTTGATTGGGATTGTATTAAATCTGTGTATCAGTTTTGGAAGTATGGCCGCGTTGTCTATATTGATTCTGCCTATCCAGGAACAGGGATATTGTCTTTTCTTGTTACTAAGACAAAATGCCCAACACCAAAGTTAAAAGGAGGACAGGTTTGGTTCACAGTCTGTAAAGGTTTCAGTCCAAGGTCAGCTTGCTCCGGGGAAGGGTGGCATGGCTGAGGGGACACTGTGGGGGAGACAGCTCACGGTGAAGCAGGGCAGGCAGGCAGGAGGCAGCAAACCAGTGGAGCAGCAGCAGCAGCGAAGGCCTGCCTTTATGTCCCCCCACAGCCGCCCTCATGGGTCCTCCCACACCTGGGACGGCAGCCTGACTCCCAGCCGCCTCTGAAAAGCCCCGCCCGTGACCACACGAGGCTGTGGGGGCATCTAGATACAAGCCATAACACACTTCTTTCCATGATTCTGATGTCCTCTTTGATCTCCTTTTTCAGAATACTGATGTTAGGTTAGTTTCTAAGTAATTTTTCTTGATGCTATTGGGAATGGTATTTTTCTCCCTAATTTCTTTTTCAGTGAGTCATGATTGATGTACAAGAATGTGGTTGATTTCTGTGTGTTTATTTTGAATTTTACTATGTTGTTCAATTTAGTTATTTAATTCTAGTGTCCCATAGAGGGAAAGCTTTCAACTTTTCTCCATTTTAATATGATGTTGGCAGTAAGTTTGTCATAAAGGGCTTTCATCAGACAGAGATAAGGTATTTCTATTTTTTGATGGCTTTTTGAGACGGAGTCTCACTATGCATCAGGGTGACCTTGAATTCACTTTGTACCCCAGGCTGACCTCGAATTCTCAGTGATCCTTTTGCCTCAGCCTCCCAGATGGTGGAATTACAAGCATGCACCACCACAACAGGCTCAGAGCCATTTTTTTCACTCAGAAATGATTAGCTTTTAGAACTTGAAATGGATAAATTTGCCCCAACTAGTGATAATTAGGAAGTGTGGCAAATTGTCTTTTTCCCAAAGTCCTCATTGGCAGAGGCACCTGCTCCCTGCTCCTCAGGGCAGCCTCAAGTCTTCCCGGGGGTGGGTTGCTGCAGTGGAGAGGAAAGCAGGCTCAGGTAAACGCAGAGGGCTTGCAGGGAAATCTCAGACCTCTCCTAAAGCACTCACAGATCTTGGGATGGTTGTACCGTGGTGTCTGTGGTTTTTTTCTCTGTCAGCGCCATAAGTTTCTCCAGAGATAAGAGTTTATAGTAGTGGTTTAAATGCAAAAACTTTGAGTCATCTGTTCTGGTAGTTATTTTTCATTAAAATTTAAGTTGTTATTATTTTTTATATGCCGGGCACGGTGACTGTGTAAGGAAAATTTCCCAAATGAGTGGGTGGACCTAGGTGCAACTCCTTGGGGCCCCAGGGACCCACAGCCTCTGCTGTGCGATGTGACGCTGTTCATGCCCTCAAGTTACTGGGCTTCTGGAGGGAGGTCCGGGTGCCTGACTCCTGGAGTTTTCTGGCCATGTAGCTTTCCAAAAGCATTTTGCTCCTTTGAGCCTTCAGTTCGTTGTCTGTGAGGTGAAGGTGACTGCTGGCTTCACAGGGCTGTGAGGGAGAAGCGCCCAGGCCGGGGCTCCAGGGCTCTGGGCAGCACGCTGCTTTCTTTCCTCATCTCCTTGGCAAATGGGAGATGGGTAGAATTTTGAAATGCATTAAGCATTCAAAAAGACACCGGCAAACTAGAATGATAGCATTAGGCCATGAAGATAGTTTAAAATATCCAAAGAATGAGTACCGCATCCAGGAGCCTTGGCTTAACAGGGATTTGTTTGAAAAGATTTGGGGTTTCACTGCCTTGTAACCTGGTTGCCAAAACCCTCACACACTGTGAGGCAGCTTTAACCAGTGTTCTGTGTCCAGTGCAAATAAAGCGATAGATAGTCCTGCTGTAAAGCTCTGAGCTGCTATTTACTCTGCCCTGCTGCCAGGTGGGTATGTAAGCACTTTACATGGGTTATCCCATTGAATATACCTCCGTGTTGGGCAGAGAGGGTCTGTCTGTTTTTTTTTTTTTAAACAGGTCTTACTATGTTACCCAGGCTGGCTCAAGCAGTCCTCCTGCCTCAGCCTCCCATGTAGCTGTGACTGGGAATCTGCCGCTATGCACTTACTCTTTTTTTATTTATTTTTAAAATTTTATTTATTTATTTTTGGTCTTTTCTGAGGCAGAGTTTTTCACTGTATGGCTCATGCTGCTCTTGAACTCACTTTATAACCCAGGCTGGCCGCAAACTCACAGCAATCCTCCTGCCTCAGCCTCCAAGTACTGGGATTACAGACATGCACCACTGCACCTGGCTTTTTGGTTTGTTTGTTTGTTTTTAAATAAATGAGGAAGGTGAGAAACAGAAAGAAGGTGAGCCACTGAGGTCTTCACTTGGGTTTGTTTGCAAGCCACAGAAGCCACCTTGAATTACTTACAGCATTAAAATAGTTTACTAGAAAGTTCTTAAATAGCTCCCTGCTTCCACAGTCTGGTGGGAGGCCCTGGACAAGAGGCATCAGGAGGGTGAGCAGTCCAGCCTGTAGGCCTGGCCAGCTATGGGGACCCATGAGGCCTGGCTATCACTGGATGTTGCCATCATCAGCAAGATCCATTCTCCACTGTCTCTGATGCTTTGGTTCAGTCACCCCAGAGCCACAGGCCCTCTCCTCAGCTGGTCTCAGCTCTTACTGTCCCTGTGTCCATGCATCTGGGGTGTATGTGAGCACTTCTAACCGACCAGTGTCCCTGCTGTGGCACAGTGCGGGAACACGAAGGGGACCCAGGCCCAGCCGCCCAGGCACTGCCTCTCCTCTGCGGCCCCCCTGCCAACTTTTCTGCCAGAGTGAAAAGCAAGCCCTTTGTGCCTCATTCACGGTGGCATGCTGTCACGTAGGGTTGGAGCCATGTCTGAGTGCCCCTGCGTGTGCAGGGCCTGGGCACAGGAGCCGGGGATGCTTGTGAGTTGTAACTCTGGTTCTTGGCCGCCTTTGCTGCTGTGTTTCTTTTCCTGTGGGTCCTCGCAGCTCACCTGCCTGGGACTTGGCTTCCTTGCTCGTGAATCAGGACTGAGTTCCGCCCACAGCACCTGCGCTGTAGCGCAGGCCTAGGCGTGGCGTGTTGATGTACACACTCGCGCTGTTGGATAAGCAGCTAGTTAGTGCAGATAACATTCTAGAGTCGGGCAGACGGGGCTGAGACCCACATGACCTGCGCGCCCTACTCACAACCTCGTGGATTTCCATTGCCTCAGCGCTGACGTGCGCTCACACGGCACGGGATCACCGGGGGATTAGCAGTAATGAGGTTCAGTGCCTGGCACCTAGCAATTGCTCAGTAAATAACCTGTTGTTCCCCTTTGTGTCAGCTTTTTCTCCCCTTGTCTTTATTACTATGTCAGCTTTTTCCTTGGTAGTAAGTCCTTATTAGGTGGTGAAGGGTTTTGATATCGTAGCAACCAGACACATTTCAGGATTGGCCCCACCACCTGGCAGGTGAAACAAGCTAGCATAGGTCACTTAACCTTTGTGTCTCGGTTTCTCTGTTTCTAAAAGTGTGGGGCACCTAAGTGGTGCCTAAGTTTACTGAGGGGTTAATGGAGAGGACACCCCTGACTAACAGTTCATGGCACACATTCAGGTTGGTATAAATATTTCCTCTCTCAAAAATATTCCCACCCTCAAAACAGGGTAGAACTGAAAGACCTTGGTGCAGGACATGTGGGCCACTTAGCAGCTTTGCGAGTTGAGTGTTTCTGCCCCCCACTTCTCTCTGTGTAAGATGGAAGGCTCTAGGTGACGCGAATGCTCTTCTCTGAACTGCATTCCTCGCCTGGCCATGCAGGATGTGACCCCGAGCCTCTGCCTCATTGCAGGCTGCTGGAGGAAGAGTCTTCTAAGAGGGCGGAGCTGGAGAAGTGGCACCTGGTGCAGCAGCAGGCCATCGCCAGCACGGAGGCGGAGAAGCAGGAGCTGGAGCACGAGCGCACTGAGAAGGAGCGGGCGCTGCAGGAGGCCATGGCGCAGCTGGCGCAGCTCGAGCTTGAGCGGAAGCAGGCACTGGAGCAGTATGAGGTGGGTGGGCCCTGAGTGCCCTGGATCACCCTGAGACACACCGGGCATCCTAGAACAGGCACCTGGCTGCCAGCAGGAGGCTGTAGGAAAGGAGGCAGAGCAAGTGTTTGTAGGAGTGAGGTATACGGTGTCTGATCCCAAGGACCTTGGAGGGTCCAGGTGGCAGGGGAGTGGCCAAGGTCCTGGGCCCAGAGCCATCCCTGGCAAGCTACCTCTGCTTCTCAGCGGACACTGTCCCCAAGGAGGTGTCCCGGAAGCCCCCGGGGGTGATCACCGTGGATACCCTAAGTGGCACCTGGAGAGAAGCCCTCCGGCTTGTGCTTTTCGGCACCCAACACTGACAGAGCTTGCTTGGTGCCAGCTGGTGAGGAACAATGACAGTAGGGACCAGTTTCGGGGGGCGGTGGATCTGGAACTGTGAGGCAGGAAAACATAACTGCACGCAGGGTCTTCTGCAGCTCTGAATGTGACAGAAGGACGTGCTTTGGGACTGTGGGTCAGTCCTGGCCCTACTGCTTCCTGCTGTGTGGCTGCAGGCAGGCTCTGAACCTCTCTGCACCCCAGCTCCTCCTGCTGTCAGTGGAGCAGTAGTGCTTCCTACATTTTGGAAGGGCGGGGAGGATTTAGTGAGCCACTGAAAAAGCAGTTAGAAAGTGGCCATCTTTGTTACTCGGTCCTTAAAATACCTGAACCAAAACCCATTCTGTTCCAGGGAGTTAAGAAGAAGCTGGAGATGGCAGCTAGCATGACGAAGAGCTGGAAGGACAAAGTGGCCCATCATGAGGGATTGATTAGATTGATAGAACCAGGTAATAGATTCTTTGGAGCAATCATATGTTTGTTTTGATTTATTTATTTTTGGTATCAGGAATGGAACACAGGGCCTCGTACTCGCCAGACAGGGGCTGTACCGCTGAGCTGTATCCCTGGCATATGTTTATTTTTAAATTTATTTTTGCTTTATGTACTTGAATTGTGCTTAAACAACCTTTCAAGTGCTGACACTCAGGAGCTGATCTGTCCAGGATGACCTGCTGAGCAGCTGGCCTCCTAGTCGCTAAGTGGCCCCAGGCCCTCCCCTGCTTCTTCCAGATGCTGTATTTGAAAAGCAGTCGGACTTCTGGCAGGGACCTGCTGAGTTCAGGGCTCTCTGTCTCCTAGGTTCCAAGAGCCCTCACCTCATCACTAACTGGGGCCCCGCGGCCTTCACCCAGGCAGAGCTGGAGGAGAGAGAGAAGAACTGGAAAGGGAAGAAGACCACGGAGTGAGCCAGCCAGTCTGTCCCATTGTCCACAGTGTAGATGCGAGTGTGGCCAGAGCTTTCCGCTGATGACCAAGGAACTGGCTTTGCTGCTTCGAACTCTGCTCCCCTCCGCCTCCCTGGGGCTGTGGCCCTGAGGAGGCCTTGTTTACCTGCCAACCAAGGGTTTCCCTGAGAAGAACGACGACAGTGTCGCCTGGCACTTCCTGTCCTCTTCCTATGTATGATTCCTTGGGCTCTGAAGATTCCCTGTAGCTCAGCTTCTCTCCAGAGTGAGGCCGAGTTGCTGCTGGGCCGGTCAGCAGCCCTGTGACCTGGGCCCTCCCAGCCGCTCCTTTCCTCCTCTGACGACATGGCGGCCTGTCCGTGTCCCCATCCCCTCCTGCACCCACTGTGTGGTGCGGAAGGCCTTTGGGTGGGCGTGCTGGGGGAAGTCCTGGAGTTCCTCTTTCCCCTTCGTCTGCTGGCCGTCTGCTCACGGCCGTCTGCATATTTCTTGCCCCAGCTGTCATGCACTTGGCGTGTGGTCCTGGTTTCCGTCCCCTCCTCTCAAAGAAGACATCCCATGGCCCAAACTCAGCCTGACTCTCTCAGGTCTTCTCTTAGTGAGAATGCGCTCCCGGGCTGTGCCACGTGGTGAGAGGACGGTGTTTAGTAGTAGGAAGAAGCCAGATTGAAATAAAAGTTGTTTGGATAATTTCTAAAGCAGCTTCTCTGCTCGAGGGCAGTGGGACACTGACGTGTGTGGAGGTTGTCACTGTACCCTAGGTGGAGGAGCCAGCACTCAACAGTGCGGCAGTGTTTCTGCTTTCCCTGGGGTGCCGGGGAAGAAAGACCCAGTAAAAACAAGCATCCAGGGAAATTGGAATCAGGGTTTCTGTGCATCTGGTTTGAAAGAAGTATTGGGGTAGTTCTCATGTATCTTTGGATTGAAGTAATATGAAATGAAGCCTTCCAATGCCAGTTACGCGTATGCAGCAGTAACTTCATGGACAGCAGTGATGCTTAAAGTTGTACAGAAATACGGGGTGATTCCAGGGTTACACAAAAGGCAGAATTCAGCAGACAGGCGCCAGTCCTGTCCGTAAGTCCTGACACAGGGTGGGAGCCTCGCAGGAAAGCGGTGAGCTACGCGTCTACACTGTCTGGTGTTAGAGATTTTAGGGTAGGTATTTATTTACATGGGAGGAAACTGGAATGTAATTCCATAAATCTTCAGCTTTATGACTGGAAATTATTTGCCAGTGAAATAGTCTTTAGAAATGTGTCTTAAGGTTTTTACTTGTTAAATGTTTGATGTTCTCATAGTTGCTGTTGTAAAGTTTAGATTTTTATCTGAAATATCTTTTATCATGTATCTTTCAGATTTAACAGTGAATTTGGGGTGTTGGTTTCTGACCAGCCATTTATCAGTATTATTTTATTCAGTAGCTGGCAGATCTGTTAGACCAGCTGAGGATGAAACTTCTTTGTCAAACCAGGGCACTTCTTGGTCCTTCGGAAGGAGGAGGAAAACATGGGAAGAAGCCAGCAATGTCTTGTGGAAGCAAGTTGGCGGGAGGTCAAGGGTATGGAAGGCTTCCCTGTCCACAGGGTGCACCCTGCAGTGTGTCCCTTGGGACCCCCCTCCCCCTCCCCCTCCCCCCTCCCCCTCCTCCACTCCCCCCCCCCCTCGGCTGACAGCCTGGCCTCCCTGCCGCCTGCTTGACCGCCATGCCTGTGGCCATCAGAGCGGTCTGTTAAGTGCTTGGTAGCTCTGGTTTTACAGCCTGGCTTCAGTGACACCATCTCCAGGGGGCAAAATGTTTTCAAAAACAGATGGAAAAGACAGCACAGAAATGATCTGTGGTGAGATGACATTTTGATACTAACTGGATTCCTCAAAATATTTAAAATGGTGTCGTTGTCAGAGTACAGTACTTGTAGACCTCTGGTCCCTTTTGTACTTACTGTACAGCAAATTTTAGGAGTGTCTGAATGTTGTCACGATCAGACCCCTTTTCCCAGTAACTCAAGATAGGATCGGATCCCCATAATTCCGCCAGGAATTATGCTTGAAAAGTTCAAAAATGTGTTTTTGTGATTTGCTAGATTGAGGGACCAAAATATAATTTTCAAACATTCTCATCTAAACATTGTATAATACGATATGCTTAACTTTAAGTTTTTGCTAATTTTCTAAGACATTAAAATACTTTGTATTTTTTTTTAAGTAAACTAGACCCAGTAAGAAAATTATAAACATCAGAACATCGTATATTTTAAACTGTTGGCTTAATAAAACAGTGGGGTGAAACCTTGTGTGCGTGTGCTTTCCATGTGGAACAGGCCAGGCTCTGGGTTACTTCCTGAGGGCGTGAGGTGCAGTGGGGACTCGGACCCCGGGATGTGATCTTGGCCTCTGGTCGGTCTGGCGTCTGATTCATTGCAGGGGAAGCTGCGACTGATTGTCACTTCAACAAACAGGAACTTTCCAAGAAGATTTCTCCTCATTGCTGCTGCTACCTCCAAATCCTCTTACCTGCGCTTTCCAGAGTAAGCAGTGGGGTTCTTTGGGTTAGAGCCCGAGCCTCCTGGGGGTGCCGCGTGGCTGGGTGGGGAAGCCACGGGCTCCGCTCCGCTCCACAGGACAGAGGCCCTGTGGTGCTTGGGGGGTCAGTGGGGGCGCTGCTGGGGTGTTTTGCCCTCCAGGGAGCCTTTGGCAGTGCCTGGAGTCTTTGTTTCTCAAGTGAAAGCGGGAGCATCCGGGCTGCAGGCTGCAAGGCCTCCCTGCCGCGCGGGGGCCGCGGGGGCCGCTCCTGTGGCCCAGCAGCCCGGGCCTGGGCGTCGGGGTTCCCGAGGAGCGCCCCTCGGAGTTCACCGGGCGCGGATGCGATTACAGACCCCTCGGCCTGCTTCCCAGCGCACCGCGGCTTCCCGGGGCGGGCGGGCGGGATTCTTCCCTGGAGGAGCCTGCTCTGGCCGGAGTGACCCCAAGTCACTGCTTCCCCCCAGGCCACGCGTTGGGCGGTGACGGCCACAGGCTGTTCCTGCAGCAATGGACGCGCGAATGGATCACGGCAGTGAGCTCTGGGACGGGGTGAATCTGGTTTATCTATCAAGCAGCCAGGCCGTGGCGTTGTTACAGCCCAACCGCAGAGCTGGGGTTTAAGGCAGAGCAGGCTGACCTGGCGTCAGTGGAGCCCGGCTGGAGGGGACAGAGAGCCAGCCTGAGCACAGGCCAGGAACTCTGGGTACTGTCTGGGGGTTTTGTTTTTGTTTTTATTTGTTTTGAGACAGTGTGTTGGTTTTAAACTCAGGACCCTCCTGCCTCTTCCTCCCAGGTATCAAGGTTGTGGTGCCCTCTCAATAGGGCGGCAAGGAGTTCCTTCGGCTACTTTCCAAAGTCTCTCTGTGACCAGCTTGTGCGGCGTGGCATGTAGGAGCCCGCTTGACAAAACCCCTGCCCCTGGGTGGGACCCTGCTGGTGGATCTGGCCGCACCACTGCCAGCAGCGAGAAGAGAACGCATGGATCGCACGCAGGGCTGCTGTGCCCCGGGCGCCCTGCTTGTTCCAACCGGCAAATGCTGAGTGCACTGCAGGGCAGGGCGGCGGGCACAGTCGCCCAAGTGGGGCAAGGGTCAGGGAGCAGAGCCTTCGGGTTGGGTGGCAGCGCGTTCCCCAGGTGTACTGAAAGCACCAGTCTTTCAGGGAATAAAGGACATCGTTTTATTTTCGGTCCTGCTCCATTTTTTTAAAAAATTCAGTTTGAGAATGTAAAAGTTCCCCCTCAATTTTGAGTCTATTCAGCAATAGTTACTCTAAAGACAGACACCCACGCTGCAGCCCACCAGTGCACCCAAGAGAAATGAGGCCTGATGCCCACCAAAGATGGTAGCGCTACCTCAGGAGTGGCCCCAAAGCGGAAATGACCCAGATCTCCACCAGCAGACGCCGGAAGAAAAATTGTGGTGCTTTCCAATAGGGGCTGCAGGGCTTAACTGAAAGGAATGAGTTAGGGAGAGGGAGCAGCGTGGACAGAGCCCGAGACAGCCCCAGCTGGAAGCAGCCAGACAGAAGAGCACGCAGACTACACGGTTCCCTTTCTGTTGCCTTCCAGAACTCCAAAGGCTGCTTACTTCTTAGAAGTAAGCAGGTGGTTACTCAGGGTGGGTGGTAGTTGGTTGGACAATGAATTTTAGGGGGACCCCCCGGTGTGGTATGGGTGCCGTGACCTCTGTCAAGATCCAGTTTCTCTGTGGCGGCTCCCTGGGTCCCTTGAGCCTTTCCCTCGCAGAGAGCCCTGTGTGCTGGATCCACGCTGGAATTCCTCAGGTCTTCTAGGCTGCTGTTTGTCTAGTCTCTGCATGGGGTGGCAGACGTCTCCTTTCTGTGTGTCCACTGTCACCAGTGAGTCATCCTGTTCAGGCGCGCCCCACATGCAGGGCAGGCCTGACCTCCCAGGCCTGCGCTCTGTTCCTGCTAGCCCTCTGAGGTTGCTAAGCCGTGGCCCTGGTCAGTGGCTACCTTTGTGGTGGACATGGAATTCCAACCCTGTGTTCGACTTTGCACCGTCTTCTGCTTTCTGACACGCAGATGAGGCCCTGGCCTTGGGGCTGGGCACTTACAGGAACGCGGGCTGCAGGAATGGGCAAAGGGCGCTTGCTTGAACCCTGTTCCATGCAGCTGCTGCATCCTCCCTCTTTCCTATCTGTGCCTTTTCTCTGCTCTCAAGCAGGGACATCCTGGGCCACTCTCTCTGGGAGGCACTATCTACCTTGGGCCAGATCAGGGTGCCAGGGCTCACCTGTTCTCCAGTGGGACAGCAGAGTCACCATCCCAGGCTGCCCAACTGACTCTGCCTGAAATCCTTCTTTGTGGGGAGCACACAGCCTGTCCAAGAAAAGTGTCAAAAGTGGTGGGCGACTATCAAGGCTCTGTGGCCCTCTGCTCCCATGTGGCAAGCAGGAAGGTGGTGTTCTGGTTTGTGTCTGGATGTCCCCCAAAAGCCTCACGAGGTCAAGCAGGGGCAGGCTTGTGGGAGGGGCTGGATCTAGAGTTTGTGATTGGCTCATTGTTGCTGGGATTAGCAGCAGGTGGCCTGCATACAATTCAAGGGAGGACAAGAGGCCTGCACCTCCCTTTTGCTCTTGTTGCTTTTGCTGTCTTCTTCCACTGTGAATGGCCCTCAGCCACTCACTCTGTCTTGGGTGCTTCCTCCCTTAATTTTGGGTGTCAGGTATTTTGTCTCAGCAATGACAGTAACTAAGACAAGGTGGCCACGGGACAGTGACTCTCTAGAGCATTAGGCTGGAGGCAGCCTGGCTGCAGAGTCAGACCTGGCCCCGGTTGTGGCTCCACCTCACTGTGGGGGACACAGGTCTCAGACCCCAGACCACACAGGTCATACCTGCAGGCACGAGGTGTCCCACCTCCTGCTTCCTGGGGCAGGAATGCACAACCTGCTCAGGCTGTACTACTCCCTGAACACTCCCGCCCCACCTGCTGTGTGGTCATTTTCTCTGGAACCATGTGGAGGGACTTTCCCTCTCTGCTGGTGCCCGGCGGGGATTCTGGCCAGTGGCCTGGGAGATTCTGAGAAGACCCAGCAGGTGCCTTTGAGGCGGGTCATGCAGGATCACTGGCGAGCTAGGGAAATACCCTGCAGTGTGCTGTGTGCTCATAGGCAGCTCTGCCCTTTCCAGGGTGTCCTGTGGAACCAAGTCCTTGGTGAGGGTCTGAATCTATCTGAGGCGTGGCCAGTGGTCCAGCCTTGCCTCGCCCCCCTCCCCTCCTTAGTCCTACCTCCCTTGGAAGGTGCCAGCAAAGCCCTGTGATTGTCACCTTCCTGGAGACCCTGGAGGCCTCTGGCCTTGCTCCCTGCTCTGGGAGCCTGTGAGGTCCTCGGTGGCAGAGCTTTTCGTGCTCTGCTTCCTTTGCGGCCACCTCAGCACTGAGGGCCAAGATCCCATCACACAGCCTAGAACTCGAATCCAGCGCTGCAAGGCAATGGTGGCCTCCTCATCACATTCTTCCAAGCACACCGCATCAAGTGGGCCCTTAGAGGAAGCTGGCATGTGAATGACCCCCTTTTGGAAAGAAATGCCTTCTCAGATGCTTCCAGGGTGCTGTCCCTGGGACCCCATGGGAACTTGCAGGAGACAGCTGTGCAGTTGCTCTCCTCTGAAGAATTTCTGGTCTATCTGGCATCTACCCCACCCTTCCCTTCCTTTTGGAAGAAACTAATCCCAGCGTCTGTGAAAGACAGACCATGATCCTGTGCCTTGAGTCTGCTTTGCTTCTGGGCACCTTGGCAGTCTTGGCACTAATCAGAAGTCCAGAGTCCTCGTCCACAGATGGATTTGCCCTCTCTTGTCCTTTTATTCCCCTTTCTTTTCTTTTCTTTTCTTTCTTTCTTTCTTTCTTTCTTTTTTTTTTTTTTTTTTTGTTGTTTTGAGACAGGGTCTCGCTATGTAGTTCAGGCTGGCCTTGAACTCACTATTTTGTCCCAGCTGGCCTCGAACTCATGGGAGATCTTCCTGCCTCAGTCTCCTGAGTGCTGGGATTACAGGTGTGTGCCACCACGCCCCGCCTTCTCCTCCAATTGATACATATAACTTTGGTAGTTTTTTTCTCGCCGCAAAGTACTACTACCCAACTGACAAAAGGCAAACGTGCAAAAAGCACGGAGCCCTGCGCCGTGCTCTCACTGGGCCAAGCTCAGGACGCACCACCATGCCCGGGGCCAGGAGGTGAGCCGAGCCCTGGATGGCCGCTAGGGGGCCGGCGTGCGCCGCGCCGCTGTTCTTGCAGCCCTGGGGCGCTGCGGCGGGGGTGGGGGGTGGGGGGGTGGGGTGTCCATGGCCAGGTGGGGGTGACCCGCGCTCTCCCGAGGAAAGCCGCGCATGCGCAATGGCCTCGCATCGTCCGGGCCCGAGAGCTGGCGCGGTTGGAGCCAGGCCGCTGCCAGGTGGGCACCGCGAAGCCGCAGGACCGAGCCCGAGGCATGGGCGGCGGCCCTGTTCCGCGGGCCCCTAGGGTGTCCCGCCCTCCCGGTCTCCTCGGTGGCGAGCCGCGCTGGGGAGGAGGAGAAGCCGCCCGCCGCCACGGCTGTTTCCTGACACCTCTGACCCCGGCTGTCCCCGCGGAGGCCCCAGAGAAGCAGCAAGATCATCTGGGGCGAAATTCCAGACTCGGGGACTTCAGTTTTCTCGATAAGGCTCGAGCAGGGACGAAGAGTGTCCTCCCCGCAACCTCCTCTGTCAGCACCTCGGCGCTTGTGCAGCCTCCCTGCAGACAGGCTGACTGGGCAAGCAGACAAAGATAGACTGGGGACAGATAAAGGCAGAGACGGCCAGAATGCAGGGCCACGGAGGCCTCCAGCTGGCAGGACCAGAGAGGCCAGCAGGCAGGCGGGGCCTGTGCCTGTCTGCGGTGGAGGGGACAGAGGCAGGGGACAGCAGCAAATGTCACTGGGCCCGGACTCCGCCTCTGGCCACTTACTGGAGGTTGGTGGCTCGGGACTGAGCCTGTGCGTCCCTGAGTATTAGTGCCCAGCACTGGCTGTTAGGCTTGGCAAGCAAGCCAGGCTGCAAAGTCACAGCTGGCCTGGGGGCACCTGGTCACCACCCACGGCAGAGTCACAGCCACTTCCCACCCCTGGGCGCGGGTGTGTCCACTCATCCCCAGGGTACCCCCAGATATGACTCTGCTGAGTCACTGCCCAGTTGCCCTGAAGGAGCCTAAGGCAGCATCGGGAAGAGCTCATGGGCCTGTGTCCAACCCGTGTGCTTGTCACGTCCCTCGAGGAGTCCTAGGGTTTGTGCAATGCGGAAATGAGACTTCAGGTGAAGGAGCACACAAGCGCGAGCTTGGACAGCCAAGCTGCTTCGACACAATAAAATCAGTTGGGGCAGTCGGGGCAGCGCTACACCGTGGTCCTCAGTTCCAGGCCCACAGGGAGTTGTCCTGCTCCAAATACAGTCTCTGTGGGCCTCCTGGGAGCCAGGGTCCTCACACTGTGCCTTCCCCAGCTGAGGAGTTAAATTCCAAGAGGCCCCAGCTTTCTGTGGCTGGGGCTGGGCTAGGGCGATTGGAGTTGGTGCTGGACTGTGCTCTGCAAATGTCACTTGCTTAAGGTGCTCAGACTGCAGGGCAGAGGTCACAGCTGATGACCCAGAGAAGACCCTTCTGGTTCGGCCTCCTGAGAACCTCTGCTCTGGACAGCTTGGGCACGGGACCAAATGAAAGGGGGCAAGCCTGGAGGTTACAACACGAGGCTGCTGCTGGGCCGTCTTTCTGGGGCAGGGATGGCCTGTGCTTGCTCCCAGGTGGCTCTCTGGTGAGTGCTCTGGGTTAGGTTGCCATGTGTCTGTCCTAAGTCCTCTGACTGATACGGTGACTGATGTCACCGCAGCTGCTCTTGCTGCTTTGAGAATTGCCCCCTGTCCAACCTAGGCATCACTGCCAGGGTCATCTTTATAAAACACAGATCTTTGAACACTTTTGTTCTAGATCCTCCCAGAAGTCCCCACTGATTAACATGAAGGCCTCTTGCTCTGCCTGGCACTGGAGACTGTCCTGGTGCCACAGGCATCCTGAGAGACGGGCTCTCAGGTGACTTTAGATGATGGCGGGCCCTAGGATGAGGGCCTGGCAGGGAGGAGAGGCCAGGCGCTCTGTGGTCTGCAGACCGAGGTCAGCTGTGTGGAGAGGTGGAGGGTGGACAGCGGGAGGA